TCTGCTTAATTAATAGACTGAAGGATAGAGAGGGAGTTGAGCCGCCTGCAAAAAGGAGGCGACGCAACTACTCGTTTCTTGTAGGTACGAAGAGAAATTTGGTTTCGATGAATCTCATGAGATAACATTGTTAGGGGTACCTACATTTAGAATAAAAGTGCATGAAGAAGAGATTCGTTGGTCGATCTCACCAGATGAGTTTCATCCGTCCTCATCCGGTGAGATCAACCAACGAATCTCTTCTTCATACACTTTCATTCGAAATGAAGTTCCCCCTAACAATAGCCTTTTCTTGTTTTGGTTTTAATGATAGTTAATTCTCTGTACTTTTAGCTCACTTGTTCTCTCTCGCGTTGAGACCAAATACAAAAAATAGGCTCACCAACAAAACCAGACGTATCTCCGACCTTGCGCAATCAGAGTGATGGTTATAACTTAAAAGTAGAAAGGGGAAGTTTGGGGTCCTCTAAGTTTGATGGTTAAAAACAGACGTTCCTTTTTGCTGTCCTAATTACTTTGAGCCATCACTTCGGCTTTCTTGCATAAGCGAACACAAACAGGCACATACAAATACAGAGACTAGCACACTCACATGCATCGCAGTTGACATATGACCTTAACTAATCAAATCACTTAATACTTGATCAAAGAGGCCAGATGTAGAGTATCTATACTACTATTTGGGGATTTTTCAGTGAGTTTTCTTGACTCGTTAGCTTGTATTTGGTTGTGATGATGATACCTTGCTCTGATGATGTTCATCATATGAAGGACGAAAGCTTAGCACCTTTTCACCGAAATCAAATGAGATTGCCTCGGAAACAGCGTCAGCATGAATCTTCCAGTAAAACCAATCGGCAGCCGTTGTTTTCTGGTGGAACCGACCTGCGAATCTTTTCTTCCAACACTTTCACTCGAAATGGAAGTAAGCTCAACAGTTACTAAAACGGGCTTCCTAATCAGCCTGTTCTTGCCCCAAGTAAATGCATCATCTATTCCTTCCTGGTTGCCTAAAAACAGTTGGTGGCGGAGGACAAAGACGAAGGTTCAAAAGGCAAAGTGGTCTACGAACTGGTTGGCGGCAACGAGCAAGGCTTCTTCATTCTGGAATCAGACACTGGATGGATCTACCTCGAGAAGCAGTTCTCCTCTTTTGGCCCGAGTGCTGTTCTCACCGATGCTTCTGGTGCTGCCCCAATGGGAGTACCGATGTCCAGCTTTGGGAGTATCGGTACCAACGATTCTCTCAGTGGAGCCTCTACCGCAGCACGCATTGGATCGGAGGCCAGTCGTCTGCGTCAGCCGATACAGGAATTTCGCCTCTACTTCCGTGCTTTGGATCAAGGAGAGCCGCCCAAAACGGCGACTACCTACCTTTTGCTCCGAGTCCTGCCGATATTTCTCTACCCCAACGGACTCGGCCGACCCGGCTCCGAGGCCTCAGCACTGACCACCCTGACCGGCAGGAGTCAAGCTGGCCGGCCCGACTCATCGACGTCAGTCTCAGCCTCTACCTTCATGGCCGGTTCACTGGAGCGCAACGCTGCCAGCATTTCGGGCTTCTCCGACCTGGCGCATCCGATGTCCACAACCGCTGCGGCTGCAGCCGTTGCTGCTGCCGCCTGGGATGGGGAGACTAGGTCGGGTCAAAATGGTCCAGAAGGTGGCAGTTGGGTGAGTCGAGGCAGTACAGGCTCAGATGACAATCAGCTCGCCTCTTCCGACTTCCTGGTTCTCATCGCCATGATCGTCACAACAATGGCAGCACTTTTGTTGATAGTTGCTATGATGGCAGTGATACGTTGCCGACGCCTTCACCACCAACAGACCCAACAACAGACTGGACAACTGTCAGGATCTGCGGGACAGTTGATGAACAGGCCAACCGAGGCTGCGAAGCTGCAACAATTGACACAGACGAGTGCAGGAGCAGGATTTCTGTATGTACCCGGACCCAACGACAGTGTGACGGCTGCATCGGTCCCGTGTGGTAGCGTCTATCTGGAGGCGAGTGGAAACGGCCAGTTGACCGGCAGCATGTTTGATTCTGCCTATCCCAGCGAAAAGATTTGCAGACCAGAACACACAGTTCAGGGCACCTCTGCAGGTCTTATGATGCTGAGTCAGCCGATGAACGCCGACTGTTTAACGTTGCTAAGAACGCCAAACTTTGCGCAATCGGGTATGGACGCGGCTGAGTCGAACGCCGGCGCCAAAAGTCAGGTACAAGACTCAAACCTTTGGCAACGTAGTGGTCTCTGGCGTACTTGTCTGCCGACGGTAGGTCGAGGCGAGCTGTCGAATGGCCCCGGTGGATTAGGCATGTCAAGACCGGCCCGAAAAGGACACAGAAGAGGGTGTAAAAGTGGAAATAGAGGACAAGGCGGCGTCCGTCGCAGATTGGGAGGTTTGGAAAAAGCCAAAGCAGGCAAAGGATACACGCTCAATCTGCATGGCGGAATTCTACAGGAGAATCTGAACAATTTGAACATGAGTGGAGAAAAAACTATTAGCAGATTGGATGGAATTAGACTTGAAGACCCCTACGCCGTCCATGCTCTGGTGTACAATTCAGGTGAGTCGATTTCGATTAAGCTCTTTAGGCAGAAACAATACCAACCGGATGACGAAAGTGAAGCCAATTAATATTAGGTATTTTTGAAGAGAAATAAAGTCTGGATAAGGTTCTAGCACTTTTTTTTACTGTTCCGATTCTAGCTTTTACTCAATCACTTTTTTATTCCTTATCCTGTCAACTTTACTAACTAGGCTAACTTGGGCACTTTTAACTTAAGGTGCATTTAATGACAAATTTTAGGTTGAGGGGATAAGTATTCTATGCATATTAGTGAGTTTCATAGTTGCCCTTTAAATATTTGTCTCTCGAACGAAATCTTAAAAAAATTGCTTCTTTTATTCGCTTTAACTTTCATTCCAGTCCAAGAATCTGTCCTTTCTCCTTCATTAGCAGCCATTCTTCTGACGATAACTTTATTCTTTTCTTTCTCCATTTTTGCACTCCTTCATCCAAATATCAATCTAGTGTCCTACCCAATCGTCCACGTAATCTTACATTTATCCAAATATAAGCTACTCATTAATTTATATGATGAGTATTAAAGTAGTGAACTGGCTACCCACCGCTCCATTTCATCTACCAAGTTAGGAAAATAAATGTACCTTATTGAGATGCTCAATAGGTGTTATGCTTGGAGGCGATTATGCTATGAAAGATGGTACGAAAATATCATGAGACCATTTAACTATAATTTAAAATTATTCGAAAAGTCGTATTTCTATCTAACATTATGCATAAGTACGAAAGAACAGCGACCCCAAATATATGTGCCAACAATGGGTCCACATAAAAATATGCTCTCTTGTTCTAACAATTTTTAATCTGAAAGCCTTACGAAATCAGAATAATGCCTTTATGACAGCCACTGAGAATAATTGATATGCTCCAAATGCTCACAAATCACGCGACTCTTATTAGTTGCCAAATTATCTACTGAAAAAGTCCTCTGAAAATTTTAGAAAGATTTCAACCATTAGGAGGCCGAAAGAAGTGGACTAATTTTCTGCTTCTTAAGTTCTTCTCTACTTTTGCATTGCTGCGGATGACATTTGAGTCTGGCCTTCAGAGATTTTTGAGGTCCATATTTATAAACTGGTGCATTTATGGATATTCCAAAAGTCTTTACTTTTTTTGTATTAGACCATTCGGAAAATGTATACTCCAGTACCGCTTGATTATAGTGTTTAGCCTTAATGGGTATGTTGTTAACTCTCCAGTTATTATATGGTGTCTCATCAACAATATCAATTATAAAATCTACATACAACGCAATCGTCTTCCTAGTCTTCTCTGGCAACAGATAAGTAAATCATATGAAAGCTGCCAGTATTTCCTTCGTATCTTCTTAATTCGAACCCACTGCTAGAGCCTCTTCCATGCATGCATCAAAGAGTGCTTTGAACAGATTTAACACTTGACAGTTCAATCGGCTTACCTTTTCCTAGATTCTTAGTCCTGCATTCTATTATCTCTTATCATGCTTACTTTTCTACTTGTAAGGGACCAAATCATACAATTTTTATCAGCGATTGCTTGCAACTTAACGAAACACTCCCAAACAAGAGTTTTTGTCAGGATTCGCTTAGTCTGATTGATTCTTAGTAAGAAATGTACTGAAGTTTAATTGTAACTAAATCAGCGACTACTATCCATAGATCACCCTTGGATCTACGGGGCAAAACTGAAAGATTAATTCTAAAAAAAGTGGGAGTAATTTCACATGTGAATTGACAAATAGGCATTGAATGCAGGCAACAGACTTGTAGCCAACAACACAGGATCACATTACATTTCATCTTTTAACGACACCCGCATCTCCATCACTGATGCTGCAAACATGCAAAGCGGAACAATAATCAGCCGAACATATTATCTGATGCCGCTTTGGGATCTAGGAATTAT